TGTCTTTCCATTTCTTTGTGTTTTCTTCTATTTCTTTTAACAGTGTTTTATAGTTTGCTTTGTATAGGTCCTTTACCTCTTTTGTTAGGTTTATTCCCAAGTATTTGATTTTTTTTGTTTCAATCATAAAAGGGATGTTTTTTTTTTACTTCTTCTTCTTCAGATTTATTGCTTGTGTATAGGAAGGCTACTGATTTCTGTGTTGATTTACTAAGTGTGTTGCCACTTTACTAAACTGATTGATTAGTTTGATCAGTTTTTCTGTGGGATTTTGGGGTTCTCTATGTATATTATCATATCATCTGCGAATAGTGATAGTTTAACTTCTTCCTTCCCTATTTGGATTCCTTGTATGTCTTTCTCTTGTTTTATTGCTCTGGCTAGGACTTCCAGTATTATGTTGAAAAGCAGTGGTGAGAGTGAACATCCTTGTCTTGTTACAGATCTTAATGGGAATGCTTTCAGCTTTTTACCATTGAGAATGACATTGGCTGTGAGCTTGTCATATATGGCCTTTATGTTGTTGAGGTATGTTCCTTGTATCCCAAGAATTTCAAAGGCCTTTATCATAAATGGGTGTTGTACTTTGTGGAAAGCTTTCTCAGCATCTATTGATATTATCATATGGTTTTTATATTTCTTTTTGTTGATGTGTTGGATTACAATGACTGATTTTTGAGTGTTGAACCATCCTTGTGTCCCTGGAATGAATCCTACTTGGTCGTGGTGAATTATCTTATGGATACATTGTTGGATTGTGTTAGCTAAAATTTTATTGAGGATTTTTGCATAAGTGTTCATTAGAGAGATTGGCCTGTAGTTTTCTTTTTGTGTTGTCCTTGTTCGCTTTTGGTATTAGTGTAATGTTGGCTTCACAGAAGGTGTTTGGTATTATCCCTTCCTTCTCAATTTTTTGAAAGAGTTTGTGAAGGACAGGCACTATTTCGTTTCTGAATGTTTGGTAGAATTCATTTGTAAATCCATCTGGTCCCGGGCTTTTGTTTTTGGTGAGGATTTTGATTACCATTTCACTTTCACTACTTGTAATTGGTCTGTTTAGGTGTTCTAGTTCTTCTTCATTTAGCTCTGGTGAACGTAAAGTTTAGGAATTTGTCCATCTCTTCTAGATTGTTGAACTTGTTTGCATATAACTTCACAGTAGTTTCTGATTATTCTTTTGATTTCTGCTGTATCTGTTGTGATTTCTCCTCTTTCATTTGTGATCCTATTTATTTGTGCTTTCTCCCATTTTTCCTTTGTAAGCCTGGCTAGGGGTTTGTCTATTATATTTATTTTTTCAGAGAACCAACTTTTGGTTTCATTGATCTTTTGGATTGTTTTTTTTTTTGTTTCTATTTCATTTATTTCTGCTTTGATTTTTATTATCTCTTTTCTTCTACTGGTTTTAGGTTTTTTTGTTGTTCTTTTTCTAGTTCTTTGAGATGTGAGATTAGGTTGTTTGAGTTATTTCTTGTTTCTTGATGTGAGCCTATATTGCTATATAATTTTCTCTTATTACTGTTTTTCTGCATCCCATACATTTAGGAAATTGGTGACCTCCTTGTCATTCAACTCAAAGTATTTTTTAATTTCTTCTTTGATCTCCACATTAGTCCAGTGATCTTCCAGTAGTTTGGGCTTCAATCTCCATGAGGTAAGAAGGTTCCCTGCCTTCTTTTTATGGTTTATTTCTAGTTTGATGCCTTCATGGTCAGAGAAGATGGTTGGTATGATTTCAGTCTTGGTGTATCTGTTGATGTTTGTCTTGTGTCCCAGTATGTGATCGATCCTGGAGAATGATCCATGTGCGCTTGAGAAAAATGTGTACTTGGATTTTTTTGGGTTCAGCGTTCCAGATATCTGTTAAGACCATGAGGTCTAGATCCTTATTTAGAGCTTTAGCATCTTTACTTATTTTTTGTCTCATTGTTGATAGTGGTATTTGAAGTCTCCTACTACATATGTGTTTTCTCTGATCTCTGTTTTCAGAGATGATAATAGTTGTCTGATATATTTTGGTGTTCCTTCATTTGGTGAGTATATGTTAATGAATGTTATGTCATCTTGATGTATTGTCCCCTTGATCATATAGTGACTGTCTGGGTCTCTTTTTACCTCTTTGAGTTTGAAATCTGTTTTATCTGATATAAGTATAGCTGTTCCTGCCTTCTTTTTTTGGTCCATTTGCTTGTAGGATTGTTTTCCATCCTTTTACTATCAGTCTATTTTTATCTTTTGTAGTTAAATGTGTTTCCTGGAGACAGCAAAAGGTTGGGTTTTGTTTTTTTGTTTTTTTTTTTAAAGATTTATTTATTTATTTACTCATACAAACACTGGGTATAGTCAGAAGTGCGGGAGGGTGAGAGAATTCACCAGAACCAGAGCAGGGAGCAGAGCAGGCAGAGGACTGAAGTACACTGCTGAGGGGAGCAGCGGGTGGCAGGAGAGATCTGCGCGCCATGTGGGACCCTCCTCTGGTGGCCGGGGAGCAGCCTGGGATCGAACCAGTGCTGCAGAGGCTGTGGGCAGCTTCGCAACCCAGCGCTCAACCCCTGCGCCACTGGGGAGGCCCTGGGTTTTGTTTCTTAATCCAGCCTGTGACTCTGTCTTTTTATTGAAGAGTTAAGTACATTTAATTTAGAGATAATATTGATATGTTAGCATCTGCATTTGCTATTTTGTTTGTTTTTTCTCTGGTTTTATTTATTTATTTAGTTTAAAAAATTTTGACTTGTTTCTTTGTTATTCATCCTGTTGGTTCTGGCTTTAGGACTCCTTGTAGTATTTTTCGGAGGGGGGTTTAGTCGTAATGAAATTCCAGAGTTTCTGTTTGTCTGGGGAGGTCATTATTCTTTCTTCATAGAGGAGGGAAAGCTTTGCAGGATAGAGTATTCTTGGTTGGCATTTGTTGTCTTACAGTTTGTTGACTATGTCCCTCCAGCTCTCCTTGCCCCTAGTGTTTCTTTAGAGAAGTCTGATGTCAGCCTGATTGGTTTTCCTTTGTTTGTGATCTGTTTCTTTCCTCTTGTCAGCTTCATTATTTTTCCCTTGTCTTAGATTCTTGGGAGCTTTACTATTATGTTTCTTGTGTATTTTTCCTTTCATCATGGAAGTTTGGTGTTCTTCTTGCTTCTTGTATGTCTATTTTCAGCTCCCTCTTCATGTTTGGGAAGTTCTCTTCAATTTTTTCCTTGAATATTTTCTCTGTTCCTATGTCTTTCTCCTCTCATTCTGGAATTCCTATAACTCTTAAATTTCCTTTCTTCATGAAGTCAGATAGTTCCCAAAGTCTTTCTTCATTCTTTTTCCTTTGTACTTCTCTTTCATTTTCTGTTTTGGTTCTTTTTATTTCAGTGTCTTTGAGAGTAATTATTCGTTCTTCCATTTCATCTAATCTGCTTTCATTGCTTTTCCCAGAGTTCTTCAGCTCCTCCATTAATCCTTTGATCTCCTGCATTTTTCACTTCCCTCTTTGGGACTCAATTTCATTATTCTGATCGTTGATTATTTTTCCCATATCATTTTCGACTTCTTTCAGTTTTTTAATCATGGCGATTTTAAATTCTCTACCGGGAAGACTCATAAGTTCCTCTAAGTCACTGGTCTTGCAGTCTGGTGTTTGATTGTCTTTTTGTGGTGTGTCTTTTCCCTGGGGATGTGCTTGATTGCTTGTAATTTTTCTTCTCCCTGCTGCTTGTTTTTTAATTTGTCCTATGATTTGGGACACTGTGTCGCTGGTGCTGGCTGGCATCTCTTTGGTGTGCTCTTTCTGGGATGTCAGAAACTGGTGGTACAATCGGTACAATCAAGTCCAATACTTTTATGCCAGAAGTCCAGTAGGTCAGTGGTATTATGGATATTTTAATGGTCGCTGTCCCTGAAAATCTCCTGCTTCTGTATTTGTTTAATTCCAGAGGTGGGTCTTGAGGTCTCACAGACTGACCTGGCAGTGGCTGGATTGCATACTTGGCTCCAAATTGCTGGATCCCCCTCTGGGCTCCAATTCGTTGCCAGGCAGAGCCTGGCTTGTGGGAGCCTTCAGCTTACCTCTGATTGTGGGGACAGCCCTTTCTCAGTTCCACACAACAGCTTTGGTGAGGTCCAGACAGGCACAGAATTCCCTGTCTAAATATGGAGCGTCTGCCAGACACTTCCCTGCACCTTGGGTCTGCCCCAGTAGTGACTAGATACCCCTCTGGGCTCCGACTCACTGCCAGGCAGGACCTGGCTTGTGAGGGCCTTCAGCTCACCTCTGACTGTGGGGACAGCCCTTTCTCAGTTCCACACAACATCTTTGGTGAGGTCCGGGTGGGCACAGAATTCCCTGTCTAAATATGGCATGTCTGCCTGGCACTTAATTAAATAATTAAATTTATGATAAACACATGTGTGAAACAGTGTCATGGCACTTAGACACAGTTTTAAGATTGTATGTAATTGATGACATATCATCACTAGCTAAAAGTAGCCTCTTGCATAAATACAGACAGCAAAAGCAACCCAAACCTCTCTCGTAGCACAATTTTCACTCCTTTTCTGATTTACAACAAAGCATTTCATAAATAATCACAAACTGAGATTAATAAAGCAAGATCATAATTAAAAGAAGCTAAGAATAATTATACATAGTCTACAGCAACTCTCTGTAGTTAGGTACTCTGAAATGATTTTGCTTTTCTAAATTAAAATATATTAATGCACACTAAAATAGTTCTTTTTAAAAAACAAGATCATGGGCAGTAATTTTGCTTTCCCTTCACATTAATAAAAAGGCATTTCAATTTCAGTCCATCCTCGATAGGTTCCTTTCAATCTTAAGAGTGAGAAAATATCCCCACTGTTTAAATGTCTTCATCTTGCCACCCAACAAGAAACAAATTCTCAAAATGCCAATAGCCTTAGTTATTCCACAGACAACTAATATTTTAATACAGGAAATTGTATTTGAAATAATTGGGAAATAAAACTTGGAATTGACATTTAACTGTAAGGCTACTCACCACTCCTGGCTTACAGTTGTAATAGCGATGCTTGGAAGAGTCGTCAAAGGTAGTGTGGTTGGTCTGGAAATGCCATCTCCCTCCGGGGTCCTTGCCCTTTCGCTCTGTCTCTGGGACAGTGGTGGCAACTGTAAGTTTCCTGAGCAACACCTTCTCCCTCTCCAGAGGTCAATCCCAAGTGTGTTACTAGAAGAGCTGTAGGATTTACTCAAATTACATTCAAAATAATCTCTAACATTCTGGAAGGAAAGAAAACAAGAAGAAAGAGAAAATTAAATTCAAATGTTTAAAGTGATGCGCAGTGGAATAAAATAAGAAACTAAATTATCGAGCTGTCACTCATAAAGTCCTGATTCATGAGGTCACAGTCTGAATCTAACACTGACATCAAAAGCTTAAGAGAAAAAAAAATGAGGGGGAGAGGTTATTCTCAAATTTCAAACATAATCAGTTGCATATTCTTGGTGATCTTTAGAACCATAGATAATATTTATCATTTATAGTCTATTGCTTTTTAATCTTTCTCTTTAAAATTGTTCCCACTTTTTTATTAGCTAAAATGAAAACTTGTAACTGAAACTATATCTTGAAAATAATTGCTATTGTTTTGCAACACGGGAACAAACTAAACCAGCTAAAGTATAAAGTTCAGAGTTTCTTGTTTGGTGTTTTAAGGTAAAAATATTTTCTTAGGACAGCAAGATCTTGATAATTCTGGGTGACTGACTATTCCCAATCCTATAAATGGTCTTCTCAGAGTTGAGATTTCTTCTTTTTCTTCTTTTTTGTTTTTTGGTCAAAGTATGTAAGCTCAGGGGGCAAAAAGGAGGAGGGCGGTTACTTTAGCCAGTACTGAACTGAACAGCAGTGTTAATATAGAAAGACATTGCTCACATGAATAAGATACTTGTGAGAAAATAAAGGCACTGTACTATAACCAGTAAGAGTTACTCATTCTTTCTCTATCTCTTGGCAACTCTGGTTCCTGGTACTGTTGGGAGTGGGAGCCCTAAGTGAGACCTTGGTATCCCATTCATACCACTCAAAGACAGAACTGCAAATGGCAACTGACAGCAGCTTGGAGTTTAAAAATTAAAATTGTCACTCTCCACTCCAAATTGGAAGTCCCATCACCAGGCCAAGATCTTTCACTTGAAAGTCAATCTGTGGTGCAAAAAAGACAGGTACTTCCTACTAGCCCTTCAGGACAGACTTAAGAGACCCTGGGACTATGTTCTCAACCCCGACGCTCTCACCCATCCCTATTCTAGCTCATACAAGAATAATAAACTCAAGTTTGGACTCAGTTAGTTGGATTCATTTAAACAAATATTTTTGAACTATTACAGATCTGTACTGTCCACTTAAGGATGTAACTGCCAAAAGAGGCAAGAATCTGGCTGGACTCAAAGAGTTATATTATGGTGACTTATGCTTGTCTGATCCACAAAAGACCACATTTTGATGATAGAAACTTGGATATGAATAGAATTGACAGTTTAAGAATTTTAAATATTCTGTAATGTATCAGTGTTTTATTGTTTAATATCCAGCTATTATATGAAATCTACTATAAGCATAGAATTTACCATAGTGTGTGTGTGTGTGTGTGTATGTGTGTGTGTATTAGGAAAAAAGTTTAGGGGAAAGTTTAGTATATATGTGTATGTATATGTTATTTAGTACAAATATGTACATATTTTTCACATGCCATAGATATGTTTCTTTCTCAAAAGTCTTAGAGACTACTTAGGCAAATACCAAGTCTTTCTGAAGAGATCTAACAAACTAAAAGCTGGCACTCATAATTAATCTAGTTCCAAATATGCATGTAAAGAAAGTACTAGTAATCTGGAAAGCAAAGCAATGAGTATATACTTTATGTACTAGACAAGAAATACTATACTGAGAGATAGAAAGATATAATTAAGTTTAACAACAAATGACCATAAGCTCCTAATAAATATAGTGGATGTTTTTCATTTTTAGAAAAAGGAAATATGACCAAGTAAGTTTAATTGTAGTCACTGAAATAAACGGTTACTTATTTGGTATTTGTTATTTGAAAAGTGACAAAGTCACATCCACCACAAAATATCCCCACACTGATTTACCAACAGTAAATTATTACACCGATTTACCAACAGGCTTGAATTTAAAGTCACAGATTTAGATTAAAGAAATCATTTCAAAAGACTTCCGTTAATGTGAAAATGCACTGCCACAAAATAACAAAATGGAATGGAATAGCTATTTAGAAATTAAGTCAAATACTGAAAATATTAAGATTGGTTTACAAACACTCATATATAGTTACTCACAATGACCTCAAACTCTTTAATTCCTATTAATAATTTATATAAAACTCACACAAAATTGCTAACATCAAAGGCAAAACCTAATTCAATCAGTTCTCAATTATTTTATTCCTGATCTTGGTCTTATTTTCCTATTTAACCAGCATGATTTTGGCCAACTCTTTACTGTTCATCAAATAAAAAATTTAGGGGGGGAGGAATATTAATTTGAATATTACCTCTTGGAAATTATGAGATTTCACATGCTTCACACCTACCCAAATTCACCCTATCTTTATAATTCCCAGGAAAATAGCCCAGTTTTGGATTATCCTCATGTTCCTGGATAATCCTTTAAAAAAAATATATTACTGACAATTCCAAAAGGTTATCCCAAAGAAAAAGATAGTATGAAATTCTGCATCTAAGAAGGAAGAGTTTGCAGGAAGGAAGGGAGACATCAAAACTAACCAAGTCAAAAACCACTGAAAGCTCTGGCTGCCACTTGTCTAAGCAGTCAAGGTTTGACTGCTTTCTGGAGCTTGCTCTGATTTTTTAATTCTTTCAATTTAACTGTTAATGAGAAAGCAGGATTAGGTTTCTAAGGACTTCTATTGTGCTTAGATACACACTGAATGTGGACTAGAGATCAGAGTTTTTCAAACCTTAAGAAACCTGAGATGAAAATTATGGGAAGTATAAAATGACACTCAGGACCCCTGTTAAAGCTAAATGTCATGATGCTCCATAAGACAATAAGAAAAGTATGTTTGTCTTTTAAAAATGTGGCTTTATCCTAGGTAATTAACAGCAATTACAGTAGCTCGCTAAAAAATAATTTTTATCTCTCTTACTTTAAAGCAAGTTCCTGATTCTATGATTAGAAATACAAAAACTATAGCTGAAATATAGATGTGTCTATTTAATTTTTGGCTAATATTATTAATATAATATAATAATATAAGTCAGTATCTTCCTTCACCCCCACTTAAATATTTATCTCCCGCTTCATCCCTCCTCTTCTCTTTAGTCATTTTTCCCCTTTCAACTCCCCTTCAAACCTGCAACTACCTCTTCTCTATTCTATGCTCTCTTTAGTCATATAATTAATTGTTTGTGTTCAATACTTGAATAGCACTTAATTTACCCCCTACCTGTGAAACTAAGTTTCCAAATGCAAGATATCGAATGCATGCTGTTTCTCTGTCACTCATCGTATTATTCCTATTGAAGTCATTTGTGCACCTCAAGTATATGAAGGCAGTAGTCATGGTTATTCATTGGTGTAATCCCACAGAGACAAAGAGAGTGTCTAACACACAGTAAAGGTCTCTGTACATGCATTCTCTTTCCCAGAAATAGTCTTCCCCCACATCTTCACAGGGCTCACTCCTTACTGCCCATATGTCATCTCACCTTATCATTATACTAACACTCTATTCTCCCCATCCAATCATTCTTGTCATGCTGGTCAACCTCATTTTTCTGTATAGCATTTATCATAGCTGGGATTATTGTATTATAGTATATTATATTATAGTATATATATTATGTCATATTATTTATTTCTGCCCTCTGTAATGTAAGCTCCAAAGAAATGAGGACTCTTTGCTATTTCTTGCTGAATCTCGAGAACGTAACCAGTGTCTAGCACGTAATAGGTGCTGATTTAATATTTCATGCATACTTAAGTCACTGAATAAATGTTTCCCGTGTTGAAATAAATAAGAACACAATAAAATCCCTACTTAAGGGTGAAAATGTGTTCCTAGTGTGTGGCATAGAAAGTATAATATTGATTAAGTTGCTATTGTTGTAAGGAACAGAAACTGTGTATAACATTCAACATGATATTTTGCGCTATATTCAAAATGTTGAAGTCATTCAGAAAAGTTTTAAGTCATCATTGCCCACCTGCAATAAATCACAAGCCACCAATGAGAGTCAAATGTATCATTTCAAATTTTCTAATAGTCACATTGAAAAGTGAAACAGAAACCGGAAAATTTACTTTCAATACTATATTTTTCTTAGTTTAGTCTATCTAAAACTAGTATCATTTCAATATGTAATCTATATCAAAAAAACTTAATGACATAAAATTATTTATATCTACTGCTATGTATTCAAAGTTCAAGATCTGTTTTACAGTTACAGCTCATCTCCACTCAGACTAGCTCTTTATAGTCTCATGTGGCTAGTGGCTACCATTTTGGACACTCCATATCTAGGTAATTATCCACTTTGGTGGGGTTAATACTCTTTTAAATGTGCTTTTCTCTTTTTTGGCACCTTCTAGTATGCAATTTCCCCTCTTTTGACAATGGCAACCACTATCTCAGGGAGAATGAAGACTATTACTTTAAGAAAGCAATGAAAAAGAATGGTGGTTCATCTTTTAGACAGAATACATTGCTGAATTTATTCCATTCCAAAAAATAGAACCTTGGAGCCAACAACATACAAATAGCATTAAGAGTCAAGCCCGAGCTTTTTTTTTTTTTTTTAAGAGAAAAAGAATGTATAATTTTCAAAAGTTTCTCTTTAGATATCCTGAGCACAGCATTGAAATCTAAACACAGTTTTACCATTGGTGTTGATAACTTTGAATATAAATTAGTGGAAGTTCTCTGTGGTCAAAAAGCAGGCAAAGGGGAAATAGGAAATGAAATACTATCACAGATGATGAGAACAGATTCCTAACCAGGTCTAGTTAAGTGCACTAAAGAGTAGAAAAGGCAAAGGAGTGTGTTTTGGCAGGCAAGAGCATGAGGGTACATCTAAGTTTCCCTCTGCACTTGTTTCCACAGGCTTCTATGTGGACACAGAAGGAAGCTAAAGATTAGCTTCAGCTTGCCTGCCAAAAGTGTCACTGCAGAGTGGGGCAGAGGGGTAATAAGTCCATGGGGTGAGACTCCACAGGTAAGGACCACACAGAAAGCAAAACTGCACTTTTAATCTACCAGAGCCCCACTGTGAGGTTAAACCCATGCAGTGGGGAAGAAGGTCAAAGTCACAGTAAGCTAAGATGCAATCATCACCTGTTACATCTGTCAGATGCCTAAGTGGTCCTCAGCCAAGGGCACAGAGTCCTGGGAAAATGAGGTATTCCTCACTGGACAACAGAAGGTCCTAGTGGAAAAGGGCACTACAAGAACACTGCCCACACCAGATACCATAATGTTACTTAATGTTACGTGTCTCCCTTTGCCTACATGTTGCATGATTAAAGGGAAAGAGTAAGAATCGAAGAAATTCTGAAAGACTGGGCATTTAGCCAAAAACCTCTATTTTACATTAATTGACAAGTTCACCTACCTTCCAGGCCCTCCCCCACCTGTGAAGTAGTTGTTTACAACAAGAAACGCTATGTGGAAAGCAAGGAAAATTACTTCATTTTCCTCCTTCCTTCCCTTCTTCTGCACATCTGAATGGTGGTTTATAATTTTTTAACTCAATTACAAACAGAAACTGAGTAAGGTCTGGAAAAATACAGACACACAGACAGGGGACAAATGAGGGAAAGCAAAGGAGATAATCTCAGTTGACCAATATGCCCAGTTATGAAAATGGTGAGTTTAGAGACCTCAGATGACCCAGAGCAAAGCAGGCTTCTAGAATATAATGTACATCTCTAGTTACCCTAGAATCTTGCTAACATACGATCTTAGGTTTGGGTTGAGATTCTACATTTCTAATAAATACCCAGGGGATGCTAACGATACTGGTCCAAGGAGCAGCAGCCAAAATCCGGTGGATGTGTACATCACAAAATTCTTAGAAGCAGTTGTCAAGTACCTCACTATAGGATGTAATAGTAAAGGATGGGCTATAGTTGGATGAAATTATGAACGAAAGACATCAGGTAAACTAATCACGCAAGCAGTGTGGAAAGAGGAGTCTCTATGAGTTAGGATGTAGGCGTATACTAGAGATGGGTAGTTTTGTGAATGAGAAGCACAAAACTCAAACTAAGCCCATCTGCCAGCTGCAGATAGGACATTGTGCCTGCCGTTCACCTCACATACTGGGTCACAGCACCATCTGGTCAGAGAAACACCTAGTCACAATGGTGCTGCTAACAGCCTTGCCAGCCTTTTGAATAGAATCATGGAGTGACTTGTTTATTAAATAGACAAAAAGTGTGTAGAATTCCAGCAACTCTGACTTTTGGAACTTACGTCATCAGCCGTCACTGTCATCACACTCCTGCTTTTCTTCATTATAAAGGTGAAAAATATCCCTCTTAAAATATGTTGTTCTGTGTGGCTTTGCTGACAGTTTCTAAAACCTACAGGGGAGTAAAAGACACATACAAAAAGAACAACTCAGTATCCTTAGTTAAGTACAAATAGGAGATTTATTTCTTCTATCCAAACTAACATCTGAATGGATAAAATGGACCTGTGTAAATATAAATCACATTTTAACAAGCCAGTAAATCTAACATGTGAGAAAGAGGTTCATAAAATACAAAAATCCAAGAAATCACTGAATAAACTATTTGGTAAGAGATAAATAACAAAGGGTAACTAATAATAAGGTTCACAAATAATGATAATTACAAATATATAAAAATGTGTAAGACTTTACACTTAAAAGGTACTTTCCCCTATGATATTTCACATGATCCCAATAAAGTCTGTGAGATTAAATTCATTTGTTTAAAACAAGAAAAAAGCAGATCAAGAAAATAATTTGGCAAAGGTAACACAGCTAAAACACAGCAGACTGAACTTAAGGAATATGACCCCCTAAGACTACTGTCAAATGAAAGGAAAAGAAAGAAAAAGCAAGCAAACAAAAAACTAATATAAAAATATACATGACCAAATATCTTAATTTCAATTTTGCCATCAATTTAAATCTCTCATCTATATAAATACATAGGTCAAGTATTTATCACAAAGAATTTAGCAACCGATAATTAGAAAGACCTAGATAGAGTTCCCTGGTTTAAATCACACAAACCTGGTCATTTTTAGGTAGAGACATTGCAGTTCATGACACTTGTTTTGTGCAGATCAATGGCAGTCACTTCAGAAGCACAGAGCCTCAATAACAGTGTTTTAGGGTGCACCCCAGCTGTGCAACCTCCAAAGAAAAACTCATCACTGGTTTCTGAAAATTCAGACTATTTAAAACAAGGCTAAGTTTAAAGTTCAGGCATAAAATAGTCTACGAGAAAATATGAAGAATTCTGAGTTTGCAGAATTGAACTAGAAAAAATATACCAGAGAAATCATCAAATCCAAGAAGTGTTAGTCCATATGGTAGTTCCTCGGGATCTGAGTAAAAAAATGTCCTGCATCGTTGCTGAGCTCAAGAAGTTCCTATGCTTTCTCACTTGTACATTTAAACCCTTAATACATGCCTGATTTGAAAAGCCTGCTTCTCGAACATGAAGATATATATAGATTAAGAGCGTGATGGAATTGTAGCTATGTGACTAGGAATACTAAGTAGTGGCATTGTACCATCACCCAGGAAACCAGGGTTGAATTTCTAGCACATAATTTGACTATATTATGCAGGAGTTGGCAGCAAAACTGACAGAGTAGATAAGGAAGTGGGGAGGAGGGAGAAATTGCCTTTATAAGAGTTCTACGATGAGAACCCCAGAGGCTTTTCAGGTGTTTGATTCAATATGCCAAGGAAAAGAATTTCCTCCATATACACCAAAGAACGATTATAACTGAGTCCTTCTAAAGCTCACCAAAGAGGAGCAGGCAGGATTTTAGAGCTTTTCCTCAAGGTTATTTGAAACCTAACAAAAGCAGACAAATAATAGGCATGTTTTGTCACAGTTAATTCAATCTTGAGTATCTCTATAGGCAGAATCTGAAAAAAAAAGAGTTTATATTCCTAAGTTTAAAAAAAGATGCAAAAATACAAATATTTACATGCAGTGTATAGGATTAGATCTACCCAATGATTATCATTCTGTAAAAATACAAATTAAGTGTGTTATATATTGGGGGGGAACTTTCTGTAAGGTAAATTATATATATTTATTTTGGATGAAGAAACTAAGGAATAGGCTAAGCTCTAAGTCTTGGGCCATAGTTATTTGATAAATTTTGTGTTCTTTTACATGTCTATTAGGAAAATTTTAATTGAACTTGCAGTTAATAAAATGCATGCAGCACTATACCATATCATGGTGCACAAGGAAATGCTCTGAGAAGTCCAGCATTAGAACTATCAAGAGACAAACGCTATTTGTAATCAGTTTCAAAGAATCATAATTAGTAGGAAGTTCTGTGAAGAAAGTATGAAAAGCAAAGTAAACTCTAACAAATGGTTACACAGAGTAAATTAATAGGAAAAAAATCTATGAGGCAAAATTCATCTTTAACTTTTTTATATCTATTTTGTTGATTAGGAAATCCACTTATAAATAGATAAATGACTACTGGCATAGAAACTGCTAAGCTTTCTTCAGCATGGAGGAATAAGAGTAAGACCTTTACAGTATATCTTCCTAAACTTTTACATGATAGGATTCCAGTGGAACATGATGCAAATCCAGTCCTCAGGAATTATACATATAATTTGAAATGGAAGAGTTACATACATTAAATATGGAGTAAGCACACAGTAGGTGTTCAAAAATTATAAAATGAATGAATCAAAGAATTTTTTCATAAGTTTTCTTTTTTATTTTTTTTTTATTTTCTGACATCGCTGTTCATTTTTGTTCAGTATTTGATTTCTCTCCTCAGGCGTAGTCCCCATAATTCTCCCACCATCACAGGACCCGTTAACTATCACCATAGTCCCTTGTGATTGTCCCTCCTGTTTTGACCCCTCTCTCCAGCTCCCCCTGCTGTATGCCTTAAATGTGTAGTTTGCCTGCAAGTTTTATCTCTTTCCTAATCCTGTTAGGTTTCCCTGGATTCCACCTGTAAGTGAAATCATCTCATAGTTCTTTTTTCTTCTGACTTACTTCACTTAGCATAATCCCTTCCAGTTCCATCCATGTTGCCACAAATGACATGAGTTTATCTTTTTTGATCACTAAGTAGTGTCCCATTGTGTATATAAAATCCACGTCCTCTTGATTCATTGGTCTGTTTGGGGGCATTTAGGTTGTTTCTATATCTTAGCTATTGTAAATAGTGCTGCAATAAACATAGGAGTGTAGGTTTCCCTTCAAATTAGTGTGTGTATGTCCTTTGGGTATATTCCCAGGAGTGGAATCACTGGATCATATGGTAGCTCCATTTTTAGTGTTTTGAGGATCCTCCACACAGCTTTCCATGGTGGCTGGATCAGTTTGCACTCCCACTAGCAGTGTAAGAGGGTTCCTTTTTCTTCACACCCTCTCCAGCATATGCTGTTTCTGGTTTTTTTGATATGTGCCATTCTCACTAGTGTGAGGTGGTGTCTCACTGTGATTTTGATTTGCATTTCCCTGTGATGAATGATATTGAACATTTGTATATCTCTTTTTCAAAAGTGTCTCTTTAGCTCCTCTGTCAAAGAAAATAATTAAAAAGCTAAAATCCTATGTGTGGACAAATTCTATTATGAGATAAAGAAGTAGTTGGAACTGGGCTTCAGGGAAAGCTTTGGGAAGGAAATGAGCCTATAATATTACATTAGCCTTAAATAATAAGTAGAATTTGTTTAGTTGGAATAATGAGACCAATATGGTATGCAAGCTATGGATAGGGATATAATACATTAAGGGTGTGATACATGTAGGAAGATGCCTTGCTAAGGAAATTTATGACAAGCAAAAAGACAAAATGTTCCCGTGTAACATCGGTAGATCTTTTGGCAAGCAAGAACATTTTTGTGAGGTCTTAGCCATGGAGATAAATTTATATTTTATAACACTTTGAGTGTGAGATCGTACTGGATAAATTCATGTGCCTTCAATTGGGAGCATGTCCTGACCAAGAAAAAGAAGAATCTCAAGTCATAAGGCAGTTTTCCAAATGTTCTACATTAAAAATATATTATTTTTATATTCAAATATAAAAATCCACATCTGTTATATAAAAGAAGAGAGAGAAAGAGATATTATATTCAGGATACTCCTCATTTATCCCTTGAAATTCTCTCCTGTCTGTGTCCTGAGAAGCTGGTGTCAGGGTCTGTGTCCATAGGCTCTCCAGCAATCTGGCTCCTGGTGTGTTCAGCCCTTGGAAAGCAATGTTAGCAGACCAACAGAGAAGAGGAAAACTGGTGTCCCTCTCTGCTATCCATGATGGAGCAGTGGCTCTAGCCCTCTAAGTTAATAAGTCACTGCACCTGCAGATACCCTGCTTCTAACCAGGTGCTGGTTTCCCTGTGTTTAATTAACTGTCTCCTTTTGACTCTTGAGACACGGGGCTATAACAATTTTCCACTGTTGCCAGCTTTGTGGTGCTTCATCATCCCTTTCTGGTTGGCCTCAGACCTGTCCACAACTTTTGTAAACAGTAACTCCATTAAACTCTCTTCCATCCCTTTAGGAGAGTAATCTGTTTCCTGCTGAGACCCTGACTCCAAAAACTGTACAGTCAGGAGGCAATTTTAAAATAATCCTCTTCAATGTCTGACATAAAACAGGGTCTCAATAAATAATTCCCCAAGGAATGAAAGAGTAAAATCTAGTTGGAGTTCTGGAATGATTTTACAACTTTTAGAACAGAAGGTCAACAAGCATTATTTCAAGTTGCTTTTTTGAGACAGGAATGATTTTGTGGCAGGAATGGTGATTCTGCTTAAGAATTTTGAGAAAAGTTATAATATGTTCAATGTTATAATATTATTATAGTCTGTTAGTATATAACAATTTATATATTATAAACTGTATCACATAGAAGGAGGGGATTATATATTATAAATATGTATGTAGGGTAAGGAAAAATGTCTGGCTTTTCTGCCCTGCCGCCATCAAGATAGATGATGGATCCTTGCGGTCCCGAATGCATGCCTGATGGCGGGCACCTGGAGTAGGGTGTGGGCATAGGTAGATGGGATTCACCTGGGCTGAGACTGGGCTTTTAAGGGTGGCATCACGGGGACGCCAGCAGAAGCCGAAAGAAAAGCCGAGAAAGAAGTAGCAGAAGCCTAGAGAGAAGCAGAGAAGGCCGGAGAGCCCAGATAGAGTGAAGACTTGCTGGGGGCTGGGAGAACTGCCAGCCTCCCAGCCCCCCAGCGTCCCTGCCTGCCGTGTACCTGGTAATCTAAATAAAACACCTGCAAAAGCCACTGAGGACTCTGACTCCTCCTTTACCCGGTCTGCATGGGATCCCAGAAAACCTGCTGTGTCCATTCCTGCCCTTACAATGTATC